ATTCTATGATTCTATGATTCCCTTCCTACAATTCCCCTGCACAGCTTTCCTATGCAATGATTATCCTGGTACTTATTAAAAATGGAGGAAACCACCACATCAGAACATCAGACTGGTTACCATTATGGCCCTCCAGGACTACAAATGCTTTTTCTGTTTCCAAAGATGCTCAGTTCTTCCCCACATGCCCTCGTTACTGTTTTCTAAAGCAGCACAGGCTCCAGTTGATCTCCTGTCTCAAGTCCCAGCATCTCTCAGACCTTGGGAAAACAAGGAATCACAGAACGGTTTGGGTTGGAAGGGACCTTAAAGATCATCTAGTTCCAACTCCCCTGCCATGGGCAGGGACACCTTCCACTAGACCAGGTTGCTCCAAGCCTCATCCAGCCTGGCCTTGAACACTTCCAGGGATGGGGCATCCACAGCTTCTCTGGGCAGCCTGTCCCAGTGGCACACACCTTCTGCAGGCAGGGGAAACAAGGCAGAGCAAGGTGCTGTCTGCATGCTGATGGGAGCTCCAGCAGCAGGAGCTTCTGCACGGTGACAGCGCAGGACCCTCACCTCAGGGCGGTGATGGTTAAACTCAACTCATTGCGAAAGGATGACAGAAACTGCTTGCCAAACCTGGGTCCAGCGTCATTCCCATTTATGTTCTTATCACTGCCATGTTGCGAGTTTGGTGGAAACCCCATCAGTTTCCTCTTTGAGGCCAAACCAACCCAACCATTCCCAACATTAACTTTCTCTCCAAAATCCTAATGCTACCTCTGGGCTTATGTAGAATATCTGCACTGAAAGGAAAAGGTTTTCATTTCACAAGGTTTTGCTGTCAAGAAAAGCTCTGCTGTTCCCTGATGTGCTGACATCCCCCTAGAGAATGTGCACAGAAACTCCCAAGCCTGCCCAAAGTCCCCACGACTGCTTCTATCCACAACCTGGTCGCTGGGACTCAAAACACTCTATTCAGCAAGCCCTCATTTCTGAGTCAAAAACGCCTGTTTATTCAAAATCTTTTTAAAATGTTGTTGCTGGTGCAAGTATAGTTTCAAGGAATCAGGGGTGGTTGGAAATTTCCGAAAGCACTAAGCCGATTTGGGTACTCCTGCATTCAGACATGCATTTTGTCAGCCAAAACGAAAATGCGGCATTCTTTTCTGTCCGTGGCTAATTTCGTCATATCAAGCTACGCTTCTTTTTAAATTGTACATGACAGTAAATACCAGTCCCTGCAGACTTCTTGGGGCTTTACTTAAGTGGATTAAACCAGCAATTTACAAAGGACAATTTAAGATCTTTTAATGCTGTTCCCCTGTTACTATTAGCTAGTAAAGTCAATTATGGAATTAACAAAAGCTTACCAAAGCTCGTCGGGCAAGAGGAAGGTTTTTCTGGCGTATTTCAAACTGTGCATACAGCAGCCACATTTTGGCAAACGTAAACTGTAAGAAAGAGAACAATGCGATGCTCAGCTCTGAGGCTTAGCACATAGTCCTGCACGTGTTCTTTAGAAGAATCACCACTCTGTCTACACGAGATGCTACTGCTGTTAATTCTATCTGACCTAGGTGTTTTCAATAACCCAGAACACCTCTCTAGAACAGTATAGTATACTCCACCATGGATGAAGGCAAAAATGGCCAGGATAGAAGTCTTCTCAAACAAGCGGAATGGTTCGTTAACCAGTCAATGGATTGGAAAAGTATCAGCTAATCAACTCTTAATAATTTCAGGTTAACCCCAACCTACATAGTTGGGTCTCAGATGACATGACTAGTGACAACCTAGAAGAGGAAGGAAACTAACTAAGATTTCTTCACATTCCAAGGCAATAATGACTAATTGTCTTATGGGTGTGGCCACGGGGATATTTTAGTTAAAGTTCATTGGCAGAAAAACCCATAAACCCCCAAAAAAGAGTGTTGAAGGCTGACTGTAGTGAGAATATACACCTGAAAGATGGTTTATCGGATGCACCTCCCTCAGCTGGGATGGAGCAGAATGTGCTAGGAGCTGTTTGGAGCTCCTTACATACCTGAACCTTGAGGGGGAGGAGAACCAAGGGGTCTCATCCTGGGAATCTTACCCCAGGGCTAGATAGAATCGGCTGGAGCAGCCTTACCTTCTTGTGGGGAATGAGCTCGAGACATGCCTGGTACACTTCTTTGGTACGCTCGGCATCCTGAAAGAACAGGCAGAATTAAATAATTTCTTCACTGCTAAGATTATGCTGTATCATGAATTGTGCAGTGACAGAAACAGCAGGACAGTATTTTTTGAGTCATCTTCTGAGACTCAGCAAGAGTCACCTTTTGAGTCACTTTTTCAAAACAAAATTCAACACTCAGAATTAGGCTTAGTTTTTCCTCTACAAACACCACATAAGCATACTGACCTACAATTTTATGGAGTAAAGAGCAGCTGTAACATCACGTGACTGATAACAAGAAACACTTACACAGCCTCACAAGGCCACTGCAGGAAGAATCCGACTGCTTCACAAACCAGCTCCATGAACAGTTGTGTTAAATATAAACCTATCTGAGACGTTCAGGTAACAGCCTGGAACAGGCAGTTCAGATGGGGCAGGAAAACCTACTTCTGCTGTTATCATCAGCGTGTTTCTGGGTGAACTGGGGTGAAATGGAAATGTTTTTTCCCTCTGATGCATGGGAGGGAAAAATGCAGGCAAAAAACCCCGTACATAAAAAGCAAATCCCGCAGGTAGTTACACAAAACAAGCAAATCAGCATTTTTAGTTCTCAGTTTGCTTATTAAAATATCTTTAGCTAATTAATATAAGGAAAATACTTGGGAAGGAAAGAGGAAAATCCGAGTTCTCACTACTTGCCTTGACCTCCAGCTCTTCATACAACGCGTAGTTAATCCACAGGTAGATGTATCTTTTCCAGTGCCTTTTCTCTTGAATCGGGGGAACATTGGCGATGGCTCTTTCATACACTTCCCGGACGGTCTCAGCGTCTGTGTCACTTTCGACTAACCTCAGGTAGTCAAACCACGCGTCGTAATTGTGAGGATTTGCCTGCCAGAAAGATGGGAGCAGGGAAATGGGACAGAAACTTCAGTAACTACCAATAACAGACTCAGTTTCTTTACTTATAGTTTTTTTATTCAGTATTTCTCCCTTAAAATAGATCACTGGAATATTAATGCATATGCCAGTCTCTGGTACACCTAAGCTAGAGCTATTGGGTTAAAGTGCATTTATTCCTTTATTTTACCCACAAACATTGTTCAAGTGAAGGCAAACAAACTCAGCTGTGAGAAGGGAAGAGGAAGTTACGAAATACGTGGTTTGAATGACTAGCAGATTGATGTAGCACACCAGTTTTCACACAAAAAGGTATTTACACAGGGGTGAGGTGTCCTGTAGCAGTTACTGCATACGAGTGCTAACCTGCATGATCCCCCAAGGTGACTGTAAAGGCTGCCTAGCTCTGAGTTCAACCAAAAACTTCAGCTCCACAGTATCAGAATGCAGAAACAAAAAAAGCCAGTATCATGCTCTCCCCCATGGATGGAATTCTGTCCTCAAAACCAACAGCATTCTCCTGGTGTTTTCTCAGACCAAGTATCAAGGGCCATGCAACACTTGCCAGCCTTCACATCCCAAGACACTCGTGCACCTTAAGCAGCGGGACGTACGACAAGCCCAGGGGACATCCGCAATACGTACCTTCACTTCCTCTTCGTACTGGAATCTCCTCTTGCTGACGATGATGTCTTCAATCCCCCTTCTGTCTCCAAACTTCTTCTCAAAGATGGTGTAATTCTTGAAGAGATTTTGGGCGTCCTGTTTTGGAATTCTATCCAAGGCGTACTTGTAGATCACCCTTACTCTTTCAAACTGCAAACATTAAATACCATTTGAGTAATAGCTACAAAGCGGCTTCTGTCCTCCCCCACAATTTCTCAACGAGCGTTTGGCAATATTTAATAGACTACAGAATGTCTCAGTGTAAATGGTTGGTTTAGGACAGGTCTAATGAGATCTCCCTGAAGAGTAAGCTTGGAAAAAAACCCTGTAATAACAAAACCCACCATATCTTATTCACTTACAGGTTTGGAATATTTAAAACACTTTCAACTGACCATGGGTTTGGGTTCATAGAGCCTGTTTAGTTCCTGAACAGCTCATTTTGATCATGCAGGCTTACAACCTCTCCAACCTACAGATCTGAGGATATGCATCTGATCCGATGGTACTGTTCTCAGGTGTGGTAGATTGGGTGCCCACCTTCTCAGAACGTATTTCCGTGATGTCCCCAAAAGGCAAACGGAAGCTAAGCAAGAAATTGTCTCCCTGGCTCAGACCGCAATCCGAATTACCTACCGAGTGTGCCGCTACATCCCGTAAGGTGCTGAAAAGCATGAGCATTGTGGTGAGTGCTCAGTGGCCTTGAGCTTGGTGTTCAAGAGGAGATCTTGTGGGGCGGTTGGCATTAGTCCGATGTTACCAGGGTCTTACCTCTTTCTGGTTCTCCTCAAACTTCGCAAAAGCCACATACAAGTGCTCATCCATATGCTCTTCTCCAAAGAACTCCACCGCCCTCTCATACACTTTCCTCGCGTGAGCAAAGTAACTGTGCTTCTCCTCGAAGCGGGCGTACTTGATCCAGTTCTTCACATCAGGGTGGACAATAACAAGTGGAGCTACGTTAAGGAAACGGTGGTTGAATTGGGCATTTCAAACTGCATTCTTCACGGTGGCTACAGGGTCATGGACTATGTGAAACCCCCAAGGATGGCACGTGCAAAAAATGCAGCAGGGAAGACCCAACCCAGCCCTAAGTGTGGAAGCCTTTGTGCCATACTGTGAAAGCTTGAGGAAAATTTAAAAAGGGATAAAAATCAGGCAAATGTCAGGGGGATGCTGAAGGAGGGTAAACGTGAAATGATGACTGCAAAAAAGCTGGAAGCACGAGTGCTGTTCCATACACATTGTTGTGGTGGGACACAGCCACTTCACTGAATCTGGAGCACAGAGCAAATGTGCTTTTAATACCCACTGCTGGCTCCCAGCGTGGGGGCTCACTCCCAACACACCACAGTAAAAGGGAGCACAGGAACAGAGCTGGATATAGAATAGAGAAACAAAGGATGCAGAAACTTGGGAAGGTGTCGCAGTGCACTGAAAAGGATATATCTCTCGTAAATGGTACGTGCCCTGTCCACCTCCTTGTATCTCAGCTCAAAGTTGATGTAGGAATGCCAGGCTTGCTCCTCTGGCTGCCACTCCATCCAACGTTCAAACACCTGGCGTGACCCAGCAACATTCCCCAACATCTCCTCCATGTAAGTATACTTGTACCTTAGAGAACAAGGTCACGTTTTTAGAATCACACAGGAAATACATAAGTTACAGAGATTGTTTGAGTGTTTAAGAGCGTTACTGAGATTTCTTCACCTAATCCCCCCTTGCACCCCAGAAATACCTATAGATTCTGTCAAGGGCAGCATGCAGGCACACAAACATCCTGCTCTCCCAATACCCTCACCACTTGCAAAGTACTAAACCTCTCCAAAACTTATGCCTTCCTCTCTTTTTCAGAGTAGCCTGAAGTTTGGAAAACAAACGAATGAACTTCTGCATGATACCAACACAGAAAAATGCTGTGCAGTCTTTGGGGGTAGAAGCGCTGCTCCATTCTCTGCAAACGTACCAGAACTGGTTCACCCTGGGGAGGGTGGTAATGGCTCGATCCCAGATGTTTCGGGCGTGGTTAACCTGGCGGTTCTTCATTTCCATTTCTGCGTATTTCAGCCAGAGTGTAACATTCCTGTAGTCCACATCTAACGCACGCTCGTAGATGGAACGGGCCCTGGAAAGCAAAGAGGAGTCAGCTGCATATGTGATGCGCCTCCAGAACCTTCATGGTGTTTGTCAACATGCATCTTAAAAGGTTTATGGGAGGTGCCTGCAGCTGCACGGCAATTACCTCTGTATTTCCTTCAGGCTTTCCTCCCATTGTGCGTACTTTATCCAGTTACTGATAACAGTCCTGTTTTTTCTTATGTTATCTTCAAAAGTCTGAGGAGAAAATACTTTCTGTGAGTAAGAGACCTCTCTGTGGAGACCAATCTTGCTATAAATGGCCTACGGAACACTATTATTATTGGAGCGAGTTCCAAGTCTCGCACCCATGCGGATACAGTAACAGGTTGTACTCAATACACCACTTCTTAAAATCACTCAACAGCAATGAGAAGCGTAGATCATCATATAGGATAGGACTCAACTCATGCTCCTGCAACCTGGTACCTGAAATACCGATGGAATAACCGACAGCTCTAAAAACTACTTCCCTCATCTCCCGCTTCAATAGCAACACCACCTGTCCAGGTGGAATCCAGCCACTGCAGACAACCCTGAACACACCTGATGCATCAGCACGAACTTATTCACTTTGACCTGCACATATCTTGCTCTAAATTATTCTTTAAACCTAGATGCATTATTCTTATTCCTCAGATTTAATATGGTGGCATCAAATGCGCAAGACACATTTCAAAATGCTGCTGAGTGCCGAAAGCATTTCCAGTTCCCTGCTGGGGATACGCTTGCTTCGCTGATCCAGAACAGCGATTACCAAAGGAAAAAGCAGAACACTACTGCGGAGAAGTGTGCACAAGCAAATCAATTCTTTTAAATAACAAAGAAAACTTTTATACCTGAAATCTCACATGCAAAATGGTCAAATTTCAAGTCAAAAATCAAACAGAACCTTGATGAGTGTAGAAAATTGTGTTCTAAAGTGTGCTGACTAACACCATAATTGCACAGGACAGAAATTACTTGCAAACACAGGGGGCTTTTTAAACACCTGAGGTTGAAAAACCAGCAGCACTCCTGTAGAAGTTGCCAATGTTCTGTCACCCTGACTGCCCAGGTGCTAGTGGTGATGAAGAACCTGCATAGGAACCATGTAGGTACCTACCCTTGCAACGTTCCAAACACACTGAACATGGCAACACGTGAGATAGTGTATTGTTTAACACGACGTTGGGCAGTACACATGTTCAACTTACAGTTTTTGAAAAAAAAAAAGTGTTTTCTATGAAAATGTTAGTTTTTAAGAATTGCTATTCATCTGGAAAATCCACAAGTAATAAATCTGTCCAATATATTGTCCAAGTTAAAACACAGTAAACTTGCAGTGCTTTGTAAGAGCAATAAGATGAGTGTTTTTTTCGCTTTACCTTCCTCTTCCGGAGTTTATAGTCATTTAACTCTTCGACATCTGTGATCTTCTGTTGCGGAGGTGGTGGAAGGAGCTCAAGTTCTCTCTCTTTTGCCTCTCGTAAAAGCTGTTCTGCTGTGATCTGAACTTCCGCGGGTGCTTTATTTTTCACCTGCAAAGGAAGGGGCCTTGATCACGTTCTCTCCTAATGCAAACCTGAAATTGCCCCAACTCATCTACAACGGTCAGTATTTACCGATGGAGGCTCCGGAGACCCCCCGAGATCGACAATGGCCTTATGGCCAGCACTAGCCCGAGCCCACAAGGCTCCTGCTCGGGAGAGGGCCGCACGCACAAGCGGAGGAGCCAGGGG